GCCCCATCTGGGCTGTGCACCTGAGCTTCCCAGGGTTGGTGACCCCAGGCACACTCAAGCAGCCCACTCCGAGGAAAGTGGGCCCCTTTTAGCCCGGCATTCAAGGCCCAGGATGATCTGGTCCCTTAGGATGATCGCCCCCCAGCCGCGATGGCTCCTGCTGCCTCCATCCCACTCTGCTTTCGCCTGCCCCCTGTTGCTGCAGCCCTGTCTCCAAGCTGGGACTTCGAGGAGAGGTGAGCGTCCGAGCCAGGGCACAGGGCTCTGGAGCCGGCCTGCCCCGACTTGCTGCAAACTGCGTGCAAGCACTTTCCCATGGAGGGCCTGGATTTCTCTAGGACAATGGTCCCGGCCTGGCTCCCTCGGGGAGGGGAGCGCTGGCTCTCTGTGCCCAGACAGCGCTCCTGCCCAGGGCTGGGCCGGGTTGCACTGAGGGGAAATCAGGTTTAGCAAGACCTGTGGGTGCAGAAGCCCGGCCACCGCCCATGATGCAGCAGGGCTGGGCTTTTGAAGAAAAGTCCCGGGAAGCCAGGTATTCCACTTCCTTGCAGGGTCAGCCTCAGAAGTGGGGTGACCTGGGAGAGGGGTGCTGGCTGCCTCGAGCCAGGGGGACGCTGGGAAATGCAGCTTTTCTTTCTTTCTTCTTTTTTAAGAGAGACTTTTTGCTATAGGGCATGTGTACTTGCCAGAGAGACAGAAAGTGAGAAATCACCCCCCAGGAGGGCTGGCCACATTGCAATCCCTTCTCCTCCATTCTCCCCCTTGGAATCTCAGGCACACGCACATGTGTGAGTTCCAAGCTGCTGGGTCCGGGACGCAAACCGTGGTTAGCCATGGGGGTCCGGCGTTTTAACCACTACGCCACCTGCTGGCCCCAGACTGGTTTTTTCAAATCTGAGCTGGGGTTGGATGGGCCCGTGTGTAAATAGGAGACTTGGGGAGTGTCCACATCCACCTGAACTCAGTTCCTTCCCGTGTAAGCTAAGGCTTGTGTGGACCGAGTAAGACCAAAGGTAACGGCCTTCCCTTCTCCCTGCCTTGGCTCTGCCCACTGCGGTTCACAGGGAGTCCCCTGCCCTGAACCTGAGGCCTCAGAGGCTCCACCCAGCACCCCCAGTACCTGGCATGCTCCCCCTGCTGCTCTGTCCCCAGGTGCCAGCCTTGCCCTGCACACTGATCCTTGCTTTTAAAATCTTGTTAAAGCATTGATTTATTCCATGAGAGACAGACGCACACATGCAGAGACGGGCAGCCCCTAGGGCGCTCACACCGCAGCCATCCACCCGAGCCTCGGCCAACCCACCTCCAGGGCCACATATGCCCAGGGCACGCAGGGAGAACAGACGTGAACCTGGGGGCCTGGGATCTTCCCGTGTGGGTCACGTGGCTTTCCCACTGCACCAGTGTCTGGCCTCATTTTTTTAGAGAGAGATTTTTGCTATAGGTCACACGTGCTCGCTGGAGAGACAGAGACAGAAAGCGAGAAATCACCCCCCAGGAGGATGGTCATGCCGCAATCCCTTCTCCTCCATTCTCCTCTCAGGATCTTGGGCACGCACGCACACGCGCCCGGCGTGAGTTTAAGCTACTGGATCCAGGACTGGAACCTCAGTAAACTACACGGGAGTCCAGTGATGTAACCATTATGCCATCTGCTGGCCCCCTCTGACCCCGTTTTTAAACTTTAAAAATTCTATTTGTCCTCTCTCTCAGTGGGAACATGGGTGGAAGAAGGACAGGGAGAGGATATTAAAAGGAGAAACAGGGTCCACCTTGGCCATGGCTCCTTTCCACTCCCTCCTGGTTCCCCTGGGTGTTTAAGAACTGCCGGAGGGGGACCAGCAGTTAGCGTAATGGCTATGTCGCGGGACTCCCACGTAGTCGACCGCGGTTCAAGTCCCAGACCCGGGGCTTAAACTCATGCTGGGCGTTTGTGCATGCGTGCCCAAGATCCTGAGAGGAGAATGGAGGAGAAGGGATTGCGGTGTGGCCATCACCCCTGGGGGGTGATTTCTCACTTTCTGTCTCTCTGGCTCTGTCTTTCTGGCGAACACACACGCTCTATAGCAAAAACCTCTCCAAAAATAAAAAAGAACTGGCCGAGGAAGTCCGGGCAGCTCTGAGGACACCCCCAGGGCTCCCAGGGCCCAAGCAGAAGCCCAGTCAGCATCGTTTGCATGACACTCCCATGACGCTGAGTGGCCTCCTTCCTGGTGCTGATGGCAGAGGCTGGGACAAGGTGCCAGCATTACTCGTCACCCCCGAGGCCACCGTGGGGTGAGCAGCTAACCTTGCTCCACCCCTTCCTGGCTGTGTGCTCCTGGGCAGGCCGCTTAGCCTCTCTGTGCCTCAATGTCCCTCCCTGCACACTGGGCACGACCCCAGGCCGTGAGGATCGTCTGAGTCTGAGTTCACGCCCGGTGCCTGGCAGATAGCAAACACCGACTGCTGGTGACTTCCGTGGCCTCCGTGCCCAGTGCCCAGGCTTCTGTGGGGTGTGGGCGACACTCAGATGATCAGCCTAGTTCTCCCTCGGTGGGGTGTGGGACTGTCAGCCCCTCTGCTGAGCCAGGGCAGAGGACAGCAGGTGACCCGGGGTGGTGCCTAACAGTGCCTGAACGGGTGTCCTACCCTGAAGGAGAGTTTGGAACAAGCCAGGTTCAGGAGGCGAGGCAGGAGCCTGCTCTGAGCTCCCCATGACTGTCTCGCGAGAACTACTTCCTGCCAGCTGCTTCCTGTGTGGGCCACGCCCTTGCCTCTGTGCCTTAGCATATGCTGTTCCCCCTGGCCCTTCCAAACACTCCCGGCCAGTCGTCCTTAGGTACTTTCCCTGGCTGACCCTGATCTGATTTGACCCCCAGGACCCCCACAGTCCCTCGATCTACCCTAAAATTCCTTGAGAACAGGGACTGGCAGATGGCGTAATGGTTACATCGCTGGACTCCCCTGTAGTCAGTTGTGGTTCAAGTCCCAGACTCGGCACCTTCAACTCACGCTGGGTGCATGTGCGTGCGTGCCCAAAACCCTGAGAGGGGAATGGAGGAGAAGGGATTGTGGTGCGGCCATCCCCCTTGGGGAGTGATTCTTGCTGTTTCTCTGTCTCTCTGGTGAGTGCATGCACAAAAATCTCTCTTAAAAAAAATTCCTAGAACAGGTCTGTAACTTGCTCACCCGCAATATCCCAGCTAGCACACAGCAGACGCTCAATGAATACGCGAGTATAGGAGAGGGAAGATGTATTAGTCGGAATTGTGTTCAGCTACAAGTACCAAAGATCCTGAGAAGGCTTAAACAAAAGAGAGGTTAAAACAGCTTTTGGCCATGACTCAGCAGTTTGGCAATATCTCTGCATCTGCTTTCATTTTTCCTCATGGTCATAAGATGGCCATTGTAGCACCGGCCATCACACACATGTTCAAGGAAGGAAGAAGAGGCATGAAACAGTACCCACCATTGGCCTTTTTGGCCAGGAGAAGTAAAAACCTTTCCAGAACCCTGGTTGATCTCTGCTCAATTCTCATGGGCCCAAGCTAGGTCACATGGCTGCCTCCAGCTGCAAAGGAAACTGGGAAAACAAGACTCTAACCTAGAGCTGAAAAACAAAATGGCAGTTTTGTCAGCAAGAAAAGAAGGCCAGGGATGGTGGAGGGAGGAGCTTAAGGGAGGGGATAGGGATCGTCTGGATTGGTTGGGGGCCTAGCAGAGGGCTGCAGGAAGGAGCTGGGTTTTGACCTGTGCCTGGAAGGTCAGCCGCAGCTTTGACAGTGACCAGGACTGCAGAGCCGCGGTGAGAGCTAGGGCAGGAAGGAGTGGGACCGAGACAGGGCCTGTCGCTCAGCAGGCTGGGTTCTGCTCCCCCATATGGCTCTGAACATCCCCCTCCGTTTGACCTGAGATTCGCTGTTAGAGAGGCCCCACCAGGGTGTGCGGGCCACCTGCTGTGTGCAAAGAAGCCTTTTCTTTCTTTCTTTATAAAATAATTATTTTATTTAAGCCCAGTCATCTTTATTATTATTTCTTCCATTTGACCACAGAGCAACAGAGAGAGGGAGTGAGAGAGAGAGAGAGAGAGAGGGAAAGCTAGAAAACAAGCCACCAGGTCCAGGACTTGAACCATGGTTGGTCGTGCAGGAGTCCAGTACCTTAACCACTACACCACCTCCAGGCCCCTCTTTCTTTTTTTCAGTTTGTTAGGGAACATGTTCTCCTGAGAAAGGAAGAAAGAGAGAAAGCACCCCTCCAACAGGATGTGGTCACATCGCGATCCCTTCTCCATCCCACCATCCTGTTGGAATTTGGGCCACACACGACCAGCTTGTTCCCCACACTGCTGGGTCTGGATCCAAGCTGTGCACTTGACATGGGATCTGGCTCTGTCAACCCCTAGGCCACAGGGCAGCCCCAAGAATCCTTTCAAAACGCAAATATAGGGAACCAGCAGTTAGCGTAATGGCTATGTCGCTGGACTCCCATGTAGTCTACCGTGGTTCGCGTCCCGGACCCGGTGGCTTAAAACTCACGCCGGGCACGTGTGCATGTGTGCCCAAGATCCCGAGAGAAGAATGGAGGAGAAGGGATTGCGGCATGGCCATCCCCTCTGGGGGGTGATTTCTCGCTTTCTGTCTCTCTGTCTCTCTCTGTTTGTCTGGCGAGTGCACGCGCCCTATAGTGAAAATCTCTCCAAAAAAAAAAAAAAAAGACAAACTGCAAATATAGGAGCCAGCAGGTGGTGTGGTGGCTAAAATGCTAGACTCCCACACGACCGACCATGGTTCAAGTCCCGGACGTGGTGGCTCGGAACACACCAGGCGCGTGTGTGTGTGCATGCCTGAGATCCCAGGAGAAGGGAGGAAGAAGGATCGTGGTGTGGCCATCTCTCCTGGGAGATGACTTCTCACCTTCCCTCTCTGTCTCTCTCTGGCAAATGCATGCACCCTATGGCAAAAATCAAAGGGATTAATGAAGTTAATATTAATTATTGGTTATTACTCTTCCTCCAGAGAGAACCATGGAGACTTCAGGCTCTTCCCCCCAGTCTCAAGACCACAGTAGAGTCCACAGAGACACAGAAGATCTTGACCGTATGTCTGTCTTCTCGGACCCTCTGGGCAAAGCAGCAGGGGACAGAGAGGGCCCTTGCATGGCACCCCGGCCCAGTCACTGCTGGCAGAGGGGAGTCGTGACCTGCCACACCTGCACACACGCGCACATGCCTGCTCCGTCTGCCACACCCGCCCACCCGCGCACATGCCTGCTCCGTCTGCCTCCAGCACTTTCTAGTTGGGGGGTGGGGGGACCTCAGTAGCTTCCTTAATCTGAGGACTCTGTGGGGGCTTTGGCCGGCATAGGGAGAGTTCCAGAAGGTGGGAGGGGCCCTGCATGGCTCAGAAGGGGACTGGGGAGGCTTAGGGCTCTGTCAGCTTCCCTCTTCCCTGTAACATGCCGCAAACCCTACGTTGGTAACTACTCTGCAGGGTCTAGCGGGCTCCGGGCAGGGAAGGGGCCTTGGGAGCTCCCTTTTTCTGGGGTTCATATCCAGAGGAATGCCTGCCTTGGCCTTCCTAGACCCTTGGGGGTCTCTGAGGACCTTGGTCTCCAGCACCTTCCATTGGCCCCAGAGGTTTGGGAAGATAATCCAGCCCCTCCTGGCTCCCCACGTCCAAGCGCTTCCTGGGAGCCCTGGTGGTCCCTGGGGTGGCAAGGGCAGGGCCCGCACACCCCTCACCTGTGTGCCTGCCAGATGGACAGACGGACTTCCACAAGCAAGACGGAAAGGCCAGACTGTTTCCCCAAGAACATGCCACGAGAGACAAGTCTTCCTCCTCCTCCTCCTCATCTTCCTCTTCTTCCTCCTCGTCATCCTCCTCTTCCTCCTCAGGTATGGCACAATAAAAAGTCAGAGGGTCAGGGCCAGCAGGTGGTGTGGTGGTTAAGGGCACTGGACTCCCACAGGACCGACCATGGTTTGAATCCCAGACCTGGTGGCTTACTTTTTCACTTTCTCTCTCTCCCTCTCACTCTGTCCCTCTCTAGTCAAAATAAAAGATAAATAAAGGAAAATAAAATAAGTAAAAGAAATCAGAGGGTCAGCTAGTGGCATAGGAGTTAAGGAGTTAAGACCACACGTGACTAATTGCATGGTTCGAATCCTGGACCTGGTGGCATGAAAGACATACCAGAGGGACCAGCAGTTGGTGTAATGGCTATATCGCTGCACTCCCATGTAGCCAACTGCGGTTCGAGTCCCAGACATGGTGGCTTAAACTCACGGTGGCTTAAAGTCATGCCGGACGCGTGTGCGTGTGTGCCCAAGATCCTGAGAGGAGAATGGAGGAGAAGGGATTGCAGCGTGGCCATCCCCCCTGGGGGGTGATTTCTCGCTTTCTGTCTCTCTGTCTCTCTCTTTCTTTCTGGCGAGCGTACGTGCCCTATAGTGAAAACCTCTCCGAAAGAAAGAAAGAAAGAAAGAAAGAAAGACAGACACACCAGGCACATGTGTGTCTGTACCCAAAATTCTGAGAGGAGAATGGAGAAGGGATTGCAATGTGGCCATCTCCCCTGGGAGGTGTTTTCTCACTTTCTCTCTTTCTGCTTGGGTCTCTGTCTTTTGTAAAATGAACTATAGCAAAAAAAAAAAAAATCAGATAGAGCTATCACAGCATTAATATATTTTTAAAATTATTTGTTTATTAATTTTATGTTATTACTATTATTTAATTTGACTGAAAAGAGACAGAGATAAAGGGAAAGTGAGAAAACAAGCCACCAGGTCCAGGACTCAAACTGCAGTCGGCTTGTGGGAGTCCAGCACCTTAACCACCACACCACCTGCTGGCCTTGATATCAGTATTATTTAAGAAAAACATTGGAGGACCAGCAGGTGGTGTGGGGGGTAAGGGGCCAGACAACCCCACATGGCTCATGGCTAGCTATGGTTCGAGTCCCAGACTTGCCTTCTCACTTTCCTTCTCTCTCTCTGTGTCTCTCTCTGTCCAAATAAAAATAAGTGAATGAATAAATAAAATTAAATAAATAATTTTTGAGAGGTTTTCACTATAGGGCGCGTGCGCTCACCAGAAAGACAGAGACAAAGAGACAGAAAGCGAGAAATCACCCCCCAGAGGGGATGGCCACGCCGCAATCCCTTCCCCTCCAGTCTCCTCTCGGGATCTTGGACACGCACACACACGCACGCACACGCACCTGGAGTGAGTTTAAGCCACCGGGTCTGGGACTCAAACCATGCTTGACTACATGGGAGTTAAGCGACATAGCCATTACGCTAACTGCTGGTCCCCCTACTTTTCTTTTTTAAAGAATTATTTTTATTTAACTTTATTTACCTATGTATCTTGGGCATGCACACACATACGCCTAAGCCACTGGGTCTGTGACTCGAACCGTGGTTGACGACACGGGAGTTCAGCGACGTAGCCCTTACACCACCTGCTGGTCCAGGAGTGCCTTGCTTTTAAGGTTACCGACCCCTGGAGCTGTGGGAGGCGGCAGCAGCCCCAGTCACGGTGTCTGGAGAATGCTAGCTAAAGAGCTTGCTTCCGTCCAGGTGCTGAGCACGAGGAGCCTGACATTTTGCGGGATGAACTTCAGCTCTATGGAGGTAATTGACTTTTTCTAACAGTTTCGGAGAAAACAAACTTAGATCAGGAAGAATTAAGGACTTCCGGCGTTTGGGGCAGACACAGTCGTGAGGCTGTTCCATGAGCTGGAAGTACCGAGGAAAGACAGGTGAGGTAAGGGAGTGTTTCTCACAGGCAGGTGAGGTGCTTCCTCTCTCTCTCTCTCTCTCTTTCTTCCTCTCTCTCTTTTTTGGTTGAGGTTTTTGCCTTAGGGCACGTGCGCTCATTGGAGAGAGACAGAAACTGAGAGAGACGGTGAGAAATCACTCCCAGGGGGGATGGCCACGCCGCAATCCCTTCTCCTCCATTCTCCTCTCGGGATCTTGGGCATGCACACACATGCGCTCAGTTTGAGTTTCAAGCCACCGGATCCGGGACTCAAACCACAGTCAGCCGTGTGGGAGTCCAGTGATGGAAGCACTACTCCATCTGCTGGCCCCGGTTTTTTCTACCAGATGAGACTGACCCCAGGAAATCCTACATTCTCTTCTGGGCTATAACCTTAACTTGTGGGACGACTTTGACAAGTTATCACTTCCTCAGTCGCCAAATGCAACATGAGGGACCGGCAGGTGGCGTGGTGGTTAAGGCGTTGGACTCCCACATGGTTGACTGCAGTTCGAGTCCCAGACCTGGCAGCTTGCTTTCTCACTCTCTCTCTCTCACTGTGTGTCTCTCCCTGGTCAAGAAGAAGAAATAAAAAAAATAATAATAATCCTTTTAAAAAATGGGACATGAATAGAGATATGGACTATTGTGATATTGGGTATTTAAGCATGCAAGGAAAAATGGAGGCTCTAATCTCTACAGCACCTGTTTTTTTGTTTGTTTGTTTGCTTGTTTTTTTGCTGCAGGGCGCATGCGCTCACCAGAAAGAGAGACAGAGAGACAGAGAGACAGAAAGTGAGGAATCACCCCCCAGGGGGTATGGCCATGCCGCAATCCCTTCTCCTCCATTCTCTTCTCGGGATCTTGGGCATGCAAAGTTTTTAAGCCACGGGGTCCGGGACTCGAACCGTGGTTGACTACATGGGAGTCCAGCGACATAGCCATGACGCCAACAGCAGTCTCAAGGCCCATTTCTATGGAGAGGGAAAGCAGCTCTGTACCGTCGGGGTGATGGTGGTAGCGGATGAGATGGGAGATCTGTAGGGGGCACTGGTTTGCCAAGGCGCCTGACGAATGCACAACACTAGATACGAAAGTCTGTGTAACGCTGTCCAACCCGGCACTTCCGAAATCTGCTTAGTCCTCGGACACCAGGTGATCCCCACAGCCACACGGTGGGCTACGCTCCGCACAGTGGCTGCCTCTGAATGGTGGCAGGCCGGGAGATCGATACACTGTCTTACTTGCTTAGCTGAATTTTCCGATCATGTCTTTATTTATTTATTTTTTTTGGAGAGGTTTTTTGCTATAGGGCGCGTGCGTTCGCCAGACAGAGAGAGACAGAGACACAGAAAGCGAGAAATCACCCCCCAGGGTGGATGGCCACGCCGCAATCCCTTCTCCATTTTCCTCTCGGGATCTTGGGCATGCACGCACATGCGCCCGGTGTGAGTATTTTTTTTTTTTTGGAGAGGATTTTTGCTACAGGGTGCGTGTGCTCGCCAGACAGACAGAGAAAGACATAGAGACAGAAAGCGAGAAATCACCCCCCTGGGGGATGGTCACGCCGCAATCCCTTCTCCTCCATTCTCCGCTTGGGATCTTGGGCACGCACGCACACGCGCCCGGCGTGAGTTTTAAGTCACCAGGTCCAGGATGCGAA